CTCGATCCCGGGACTCCAGGATCATGACCTGAGCCGAAGGCAGACGCTTAACCGACTGAGCCACCCAGGCACCCCTTAGATATTATATTTAAGTCCTAAGTCTATTTTAAGTTAATTTTTGTGAGAGTGGTAAGATAGGGGTCCAGTTTCATTCTTTTGCATGTGGATATTCTTTTCTAGTTCCTTGAGGTATAATGCTAGGTTATTTAAGATCTTTCTTTTTTCCTAATGCAGGATTTTATATCTATAAAATTCCTTCTTAGCATTGCTTTTGCTGTATCCCATACATTTTGATATGTTGTTGTTTCAGTGTATTTTTCATTTCCCTTTTGATTTCATTGTTGTTTCATTTCCACGGATTTATAAATTTTCCAGTTTGCCTTTTGTTGTTGATGTCCAGATCCATGCCACTGTGGTCAGGAAAGATGCTTGTTATAATTTCAGCCTTTTAAAATATACTGAGACTTATTTGTGACCTAACATATGATCTACCCTGGAGAACGTTCTATGTATGTTTGAGAAGATGTGAGTTCTGCTGTTGTTAGATGGAGTTCAAGTCCAATGTGTTCTTACTGACTTACTATCTGGATAATCTAGCCATTGTTGAAAGTGCTGTATTGAGTCCCCTACTGTTATTATATTGTTTCTATTACTCCCTAAAGATCTGTGAGTACTTGCTTATGTAATTACGTACTCTGATATTTGGTGCATATATAATTGTTATATCCCCTTGATGAATGGACTCCTTTATCATTATTTAATGACCTTCTTTGTTACTGTTCTGGACTTAAAATTTATTTTGTCTTATAAAAGTAGAGCCATCTCTGCTCCCATTTGGTTTTCATTTGTTTGGAATGTGTTTTTCTATCCCTTTAATTTGAGCCTGTGTATGTCCTAGAAGTTGAAGTGAGTGTCTTACAGGCAGCGTAGTTGTTGTTGTTGTTGTTGTTTTTTGGTAAATCTATATAGTCACTCTATGCCTTCTGATTGGAGAATTTAGTCCATTTACTTTTTTAAAAAGATTTTATTTATTTATTCATGAGAGATAGAGAGAGAGAGAGAGGCAGAGGCAGAAGGAGAAGCAGACTCCCTGCTGAGCAGGGAGCCCGATGCGGGACTCGATCCCAAGGACCCTGAGATCATGACCTGAGCCGAAGGCAGACGCTTAACGACTGAGCCACCCGGGCGCCCCTAAATCCATTTGCTTTTAACATAGTTATTGATAGGTAAGGATTTACTATTACATTTTGTTAATTGTTTCCTGGGTGTTTTGGAGCTTCTTCATTACTTTTTCTTCTCTTCTCTTCCTTTCTGAATTGATAATTTTCTGCACTAGCATATGTTGATTGCCTCCACTTCATCTTTTTTTGGAATTTTTTTAAGTAGTCTCCACACCCAGCACAGGCTCAAACCTATGACCCTGAGGTCAAGACCCGAGCTGAGATCAAGAGTTGGACACTTAGCTGACTGAGCCACCCAGGCACCCCTCCCTTCTCTTTATCTTGTGTGTGGCCTCTCTTACGTGTTTTTGTTTTGTGGCTACCCTGCGGCTTACTTGATGCATCTTACAGATATAAGAGTCTATTTTATGTGGGTAACGACACTGGTTTGCATATAAAAACTCTACCTTAGTATTCCCACCCCACCTACATTTTGTCTTCGATGTCACACTTGTTTAATCTTTTTACGTTGTGTATCTATTAACACATTATTGTAGCTGTAGCTATTTTTAACACTTCTGTTCTTCGGCCTTTATATGAGAGTTAAGTGGTTAGCACATACTACCACATTGCATTACTAAATCTGACTATATACTTGCCTTTGCCGGTCTGCTGTTTCTTTTCATATTTTTCATGTTACTGGTTAGCATTCTTTTGTTTTATCTGACCAGCTCCTTTCAGCATTTCTTGTTAGGCAGGTCTAGTGTTGATGAAATCCCAAAGCTTTTGTTTGTTTGGCAAAGTCTGTCTTGCCTTCATTTCTGAAGGACAGCCTTGCTGGGTGAAGTATTCTGTTTTGAGCTCACTGATTTTTATTTCTGCTTGGTCCAGATGATTTTGAAGCTCTTTATTAAATTCTTCACTTCAATCATGGTATTCTTCAGCTCTGTGATTTCTGTTTGGTTCTTTTTTTTTTTTAATGTTTTCTATTTCTTTGTTGAACTTCTTATTTTGACCTTGTATTGTCTTCCTGATTTCATTAAATTATTTATCTGTATTCTCTTGGAGCTCTCTGAGCATCTTTTTTTAGAGATTTTTATTTATTTATTTGACAGAGAGAGAGAGAGGGAACACAAGCAGGGGGAGTGGGAGAGGGAGAAGCAGGCTTCCCGCCGAGCAGGGAGCCCGATGTGGGGCTCGATCCCAGGACCCTGGGACCACGACCTGAGCCGAAGGCAGACGCTTAACGACTGAGCCACCCAGGTGCCTTGCTCTCTGAGCATCTTTGTCAGGCAATCTGTGGGTCTCTATTTCTTTGGGGCGAGTTTAATGTATTCCTTTGGTGGAGTCATGTTTCCCTGATTCTTCATCATCCCTCTAGCCTTATGTGGTGTCTGTATGTTTGAATCACTGTTTCAGACTTTACAGATGGACTTCAGTAAGGAAGGGCCTTCACTTGCAGACAGGAGCACGCTGGAATGTACTGTGAGCTTCCGAATATGAAGTGTGGTAGCACTGATTCCAGAATGGCATGGTGACTCACTTGCTTATGTCAGTGGGGTCCACAGCATCAAGACCACATGATTCTTGGTGAGTGTTGTTGGGGGATGTGTCCCCAGATGCTGTAAGGGCTGTAAGCCCTCAGCAGTGCCTCCAGGTCCAACAGCTAGGGACCAGGGCAAGCAGCAGTAATGGCTGGGGCCAGTGGTATAAGCTTGGCTGTAGGGCACAGCTAGAAGTGGGGGGTGGGCAGGGACCAGGTGCAAGCTCATACTAGTGGTTAGGGGCCAAGGTATGCAGCAAGTGCCAGGAGTTACTCTGGGTACACTGGGAGCTGCAGGGGCCCCTGGCTGTCAGTATGCTCTCCCAGGGCTGCGCAGTCCCCCCCTGGGTATGCACACTGCGGTGGAGGCCAGTGAAGGGCCTCAGGCTGGCAGGGTGCCCACAGAGCAGTGCGCACCAGCCACGGGGGTTAGGCTGGTGTCTTGCGCTGCTCAGCCACAGAGGCCTGGGATGGCTTCTCATGCTCTTCCTGGGCTTTGATTGGAGGGAGGGGGAGGAAATGGTAAAAGACTCAGGCAGGTCATGTCAGAAATGCGAATACCCGTGTGTCAAAGCTGGTGAAAGCTGCTGGGGTCATCTGTGAAGCAGGTCGGTGGGCACTGAAACCACTTTTTAAAAATGTGGTGTATTCACTGGTGAAGCCATCTGGTCCTGAGCTTTTCTTTTCTCAGAGGTATTCATCACTGAGTCAATCTCTTCCCTTGTTGGTCTCATCAGATTTTCTATTTCCTCTGGAGTCAGTTGTGGTTTGCGTGTTCTAGAAATTTGTCCACTTCATGTAGCGTATCTGTTGGTGTGTAGCTGTTCATGGTATTCTCTCTTGGTCCCTTTATCTCTGTAAGGGAAATAGTAATGCCCAGACGTTCATTTCTGATTTTTAGGCTTGAATTTTTATATGCCCAATGACTTTTAGTCCATTAAAGTCATTATCCTTTTGATGTTTGAATTAACCCACCCTGTCCAGTGAGAGACCCATCATGCCGGTTCCTTTGTCCCGCTGACACAATTCCCTGACCCTTCGTAGCTGCCTCGCCTTATAAAACCTCAAGATGCCCCAGGCTTGTCACACACATTCCCTGCCCAGACCTGGAATCCGTTCTTCAGACCCTGAGCCCCTGCATTTGCAATCCCCTCTGCCTCGGATGCTCTCCTGTATTGCGTTTTGGTTCAGTTGACATTCACTTTAGTCTTGGATGAAATGTTACTTCCTCAGGGACACCTTCCCTACACCCCCAGATTTGGCCAAACTTCTCACTTCAGCACCTTGTATTGACCAGGAAGGGACTGGTAATGACTTGTTTAAAGTCCTGGACTGCTAATACGAACGATGATCTGAGTTTGGGCCTTTCAGGGCTGCTACGGGAAGCCTGACACAGGCTGCAGTTAGGGAGGCAGAGCCTGTGGTCCTTGTGACGCCACTGAGCCCGACTGCAGCTGTGTCTGCGGTCCACATGTGGCCTTTCCAAGCACTCAGGCCAAAGAAAAAGAAAAAAAGAAAAGAAAAAAAGAGCCCTCTTTTCTTAAATCAGCAAGAATCACGTTTAAGTCTTGTAGCCAAGAGTCCGAACTTACAAAATTATCTTCTCCAAGCTTTTCAGGACCTTTGTCCCCACCTGTTACCATGACAACCACACATAGTGTAATGAGCTAGTGCCATGAATAAAGGAGGTGAAGAGGTATTTGTCTCCCCCAAGCTTTAGCTGTCCCAGTGTTTTAAGGTTAGATCCTCCAGCCATTATAGACTTCCAGATGTTTCCCTGAAAAAGGACAGCCTGAAGGGAATTTAAACCCTAAATGCACAGGCAGCAGTGCAGGAAGAATTCAAACAAGTGTGTCTACACTGGTCTGGGATATCTTCCTGGGTGTGTTTACTCTGATTGGGGATTTTCCTCTTGTCCCTGACTTGGGATGTCTCTCTAATTCCCTGGGTCTGTCTACACTGGCCTTGTAGATCTCCCTTGTTCCCAGTATTTCTATACTGAACTGGTATGTTTCTATAATGCCCAAAGGTTTCTTTCCTGATTTTGGATGTCTTCCTAATTCTCCACTTTGTCTAAACTAACTAATGATACCCCCCCCCACCAACCCCGCCGCCAATTCCCCAGATGTGTCTACTCTGAACAGGTTACACTCCCTGATATGTAGGTAGGTCTGCCAACTCCTGGGGTGTCTCCTATAGTCCTCAGGTATGTCTTCCCTGACCTGGCATGTCTCCCTTATTCCCCAGGTATGTCTGCCCTCACCTAGGATATCACCCAATTCCCCCATGTGTATCTACCTGTACTTGGGATGTCTCCCTAATTCCCCAGGTGTGTCTAATCTGTTACTGTATTTTTCAGAAGTTTCCACCCCGATCTGGGAGGTCTCCCTAATGCCTTCTGTGGGTCTACACTGACACAGAATGTCTCTTATTCCCTGTGTATTGTCACTGACCTGCGATATTTCCACAGTACCCCAAGGATGTCTCCTCAGACATGGGATATTTCCCTAGGTACTCAGATTTGTCCACCTTTGCCTGGCGTGTCTCCTCAATTCCCAGGCTGTGTCTACTCTGACATTGGATGTCTCCCATATTCCTCACACGTGTCCACTCTGGCCTGGGATGTTCCCCTCATTATTCAGGTGTGTCTACTACACTGACCTGGGACTTTTTTCCTTTATTTCCCAGGTGTGTCTACTTTGACCAGTGATGTCTCCCTAATTCCCTAGGTATGATTCACTGACCTGGATGTGTCCACTATGTCTTATGTTTCTGTAATTACCCAGATGTGTCTACCTTGACCTGAGTGCTTCCTTAATTTTCCAGGTATATCTACCATGTTCTGGGATGATTCTGTACTCCCTCAGGGTGTCTGCTCTGATCATGGATGGTGTCCTAATTTCTTTGAGTTTTTCCTCTGTCATGGGTAGACATCTTAATTCCCCAGGTGTGTCTACTCTGACCTGGATGACTCTGTAGTCCTATCTCTATATTAATCTGGGATGTCTCCCAATGTACCATGTTGTCTACACTGACCTGGGGTATATTGCAAATGTACTTGAGGTATATATATATCTGGCCTGGGATGTTTTTCCAGTTTCTAGTTGCATTTACACTGACACAGATGTCTAATTTCACAGGTTTGTCTACACTGATCTGGGATATCACTAATGACCTGGGATGTCTCTCTAATACCCCAGGTGTGTCTGCACTGATATGGGTTGTCTTTCTAATCCCCCAGGTGTGTCTATGCTCAGGGATGTTTCAGTAATTCCCTAAATGTGTACATTTTCTAGAATGTTTTCCTGATTCCCTGGTTTGTCTATCCTGACCTGGTATGACAGTCTAATTCCCTAGTGTGTCTACTTCGATCTGAGAGGTTTTCCTAGTTTTCTAGGTCTGTTTCCTGAGCTTGGATGCCTCCATAATATTACAAGTGTCTATACTGACCTGAGTTGTTTCCTTAATTACCAAATGTATCTACTATGGCATGGGTTTTCTCCCTTATTCCCTATTTTTCTACACTGACCAGGGATTGTTTCTAATTATCAAGGTGTGTCTGCACTGACCTGTGATATATTCCTAATTCCCTGGGTTTATACACTGTGTCCTGGGATCTTTCTTGTATTACTCAGTTTTGTCCCCCTTGAATTGGGATGACTCCTTAGTACCCAGTTTTGACTACTCTGACCTGGGCTATCTCCCTACTTCCATACATATCCCCTGACCTGGGATGTAATAGTCATAATCCAGATGTCTATAGTGACCTTACCTTTCTACATCCTTAATTATGTCTACACTGCTCTGGGATGTTTTTCTAAATACCTAGTTGTGTTACCCTGACCTGGGATATATCCTCACTTTCTCAGATTTGTCTACCCTAACCTGAGATATCTCCATAATTCCTGAGTTGTGTCAACACTGACTTGGGAAATCTCACTAATTCCGTGTGTCAACACTGACCAGGAATGTCTCCCTAACTTCCCAATGTGTGTCTACTGTGATGAAGGATGTCTCTCAAATTCCACAGGTGTTTCTACACTTTCCTAGTATGCCTCCCTAGTTCCCCATTTTGTGTATACATTGAAATGTGACATCTCTATAATTACACAGGTGTGTCCTCTCTCCTTAATTCTGTAGGTGTGTCTAATCTGGAATGTCTGTCTTATTCCAATGTATGTCTACCCTGAAGTTGGATGTCTTCCAAATTCACTGTGTCCACACTGTCCAGCAATGTCTCCCTTATTGCTCAGGCATGTCTACCCTCACTGAGGATGTCTCCCTAATTTCTCAGGTGGGTCTACAATAGCCCGGGATGGCTCCCCAATTCCCTATATGTGTGTCCTGACTTGGGATGTCTAATTCCATAGATGTGTCAACACTGACTTGGGATAGCTCCCTAATTCTCCAGGTGTGTGTGCTCTGACAAGGGTTATTGATGTAATTATTCAGTTGTGTCTGCAATGAACTAGATGCCTTCCTAATTCCCTATGTGTTTACACTGACCTGTGATATATCTCTAATTTCACAGGATTGTATATGCTGGCTTTGGATGTCTCCATGATTACTCAGATGGGTCTACTCAGACTTGGGATTTCAATCTAATGACCCAAGTGTGTCTCCACTAACTTGGGATGTTGACATAAATCCCAAGTTATGTCTACCATGACCTGGGATATCTTCCTAGTTCCCAAGGTATGGAACTTAACCAGGATGTTTCCCTAATTTCTCATGTGTGTATACCCTGACCTGGCATGTCTCAATTCTTCTTATGTGTCTACCATGATGTGAGATGTCAAGTTATTCCTTAACTATGTCTTCTTCAACCTTGGCTATTGTCCTAATTGCTCAGGTGTGTCTACCCAAGCATGGATGTCTACCTAATTACCCAGGTGTGTTAACTCTTACCTTGGATATTTCCATAGTGCTTCAGTTGTATCTACATTGACCCAGGCTGTTTCTCTTTTTACCCACAAGTGTCTAACACAATCTGGTTGTCTGCTTAACTCACTGGGCTTGTCCACACTGATAAAGGATGTCTAATTCCTCAGGTTTGATTACTCTGAACTGGCTTATATCCCTTCTTTTCCATATGTGTTTACCCTGTTCAGTGATGTCTTCCAAATTTTTCATGTGTCTACTGTGACATGGAGTGTCTCCCTACTTCCCCAGGTGCGTATTCACTGACCTGGGATGTCTCCCTAATTCCCTGGTGTAATGCCTTCGCTGAACTTGGATGACTCTTGAATTCCCTAAGAGTGTCTATATTTACCTGGGATGTCTATTGACATCCACCAAATATCTTAGGTTGTCTACCCTGACTGGGTATGTCTTCATAATAAACCAGATGTGTCTACTCTGACCTGGGATCTCTTTCTAATGTCCCAGTTTGGTCTATCTTCACTGGGGATGTTTTCCTCATTCCCTAGGTTTGTTGACTCTGATGTTATACATCTCCTCAAATCACTAGGTGCATCTTCTCTCACCTGGTATGACTTTCTATTTCCCAACTGTTGTATACACTGCCATGAGATGTCTCTCTTTTCCCCAAAATGTGTCTACTGTGACATGAAATGTTGTTGGAGTCGGCCACCAAGAGGATGTGACCACCGGTTGATGCATGAGCTAGATCCGGGCAGTTGAAGGCTCCTCATCCTCTCCCCTATCATTAGAATGTGCATTCTGCTTGCATTCTCTGCTCTGCTCCCAGAAGCTGCCTCAAGGACACAGACTTAGATAGTGATGTGGTACTGAGACCATCTAGATGGTAATATGGGGCTGAACCCAGTTAAGGCCTCTATATAAACTTCTAGGATTTGGCAAGTGGGTGCAGAGATCTACTTGTCTAGCAGCTCCCCAGGACAAGTCTTGAATGTAAGTTCCCTTGCTTATTGAACCTGCCACCTACCAACCTGGAGTGGTCTGCTGCTTTCTTTGGTCTCTTCCTGCCCTTCATGTAGGATTGCTGGTTTCAGATTTCACCTGGGAAGCTCCCAAGGTTATAACCCTGACTCCCCAGGTGTGTCTAATGTGTCCAACTCTGACCTCGGATGTCTCCCTAGTTCTCCAGTGAGTCTACTATGACCTATGATGTTTCTTAATTCCCCCACAAGTGTGTACAGTGATCTGGGTTGTCTCCATATCTCCTCAGTTGTGTCTACTCTAATATGGGGTATCTACCTAGTTCCCCAGATGTGTCTTCTCTGACGTGGGTGTTCCTCAAATTCCCCTGATCTAGGATGTCTCTCTAATTCCCCAAGAGTATCTACCTTGACTCAGGATGGTTCCCTAATTCTCCGTGTATGTCTATACTGACCTGGGATATTGCTCTAAACCCCCAAGAATGTCAGTTATGACCAAAGATGTCTCTCATTCCCAGATATGTCTACACTACTCAGAATGTCCCCTTGTTTTCTAGGTGTGTCTACTCTGACATGCTATATCTTCATAGATCCACAGGTGTTTTTATCTTGACTTTGGTGTCTCTTTTCCCCCAGGTGTGTTTACACTGACCTCAGATGGTCCCCTAATTCCTCAGGTGAGCCTACACTGATCTGGTCTATTTTCTCTGGTGTGCTGTCTCTGACCTAGGATGTCTACATAGAACCCCAGGTGTTTTTGTTCTAACCTTGTTTTTTTCCCCTCTGTTTGTAAAAGTGTGTCTAGCCTGATGGCTCTCTAGTATCTCAAGTATGTCTACTTTCCCAAGAGTATCTACCCTGACCTGGGAGATATCCTTAGTTCCCCAGGTGTGTCTAAACTTATTTCGGTTGTCTATACCCCTTTGGGATGTCTCCCTAATTATCCAGGTATGTTTTCTCAAGAGATATCTCCTTAATTCTAATGGTGTATCTACTCAAAACTCATGTGTCTCCCTATGCCGCTGGATTTTCTAATCTGACCTGAAATTGAGGCATGTCTAAACTGGTGTGGGATATATCTAATTCTTAGATGTGTTGATTCTGTAATAGTTTGCCTTTATAATTCTGTAATAGTGTCTATCCTGACCAGTGTCTCTCTAGATACCCATGTGTGTCTTGTCTGACTTGGGATAACTGCCTAATAGTGCAAGTATATCTAAACCGAAATGGGTTATCTTCCTAAGTCCCCATGTGTGTCTACACTACCTCAGATGTCTCCATAATAAAGTAGGCATGTCTACACTGGAACTACCTTCTAATTTCCCATGGATGTCTACTCTGACTTTGATGTCTCCAACGTATCCCAAGTGTGTTTATACTGTCCTCAGATATTTCACTAATACCCCAGGTGTGTCTATTCTGACATGGGATATTTCTTTACCTTCCACAAATGTCATCTAACCTGAGACGTCTTCCTAATTAAGCGTGTCTACACAGAACTGAGATGCTTCCCTACTTCTCAAGATACGACACTGACATGGGATGTTTTCTTATTTCCACAGTTCTGTATACACTGACATGGGATGTATCCTTAATACCTGAAGTGTGTCTTCACTGACCTGGGATATCTCCCTAATTGCCCAGGTGTCCCTTTCAAACCTGGGATAACTCCATATACATCAGATGTGTTTACTTTGACCTGGCATGTCTTCCTAACTCCCCAGTTGTGTCTATGCTACCTGGGTTATCTCCCTAATTCCTTGGTGTGTCAACACTGTCATTCAGTGTTTCATATCTCCGTCTTTTAGCATGATTTGGGATTCTCCTAAGTCCCCATGTGTGTCTACTCTAACACAAATATTTCACAAACTCAGCTTGTGAGACTACACTTAGAATTCTTATTAATTTCACAGATGCATCTTCTGTGACCTAGGGCGTATCTCTAATTCCCGAGTGGATCTTCTTTGCTCTTACTCATCTTCTTATTTCCCCAGGTCTATGCACCTGGGATGTCTCTATAAATTACCAGGAGCATCTACAATGACCTTGGATGCATCCTTAATTCCCCAGCTCTGTCTACGCAGACCTGTGTAGTCTCCCTAATTCCCAGTTGTGTCTGCAGACCTTACATGTCTTCCTTTTCCCCCAGGTGTGACTACACTGTCCTGGGATATCTCTCTAATTTCCTAGCTTTGCCTACACTGACCTGGCATGTGTCTAAGACTGCAGATGTGACTACTCTGACCTAGGATGTCACTTTATTCCCTAGGTGTTTCTACTCTACCTGTGATGTCTTCCTATTTCCCCAATTTTGTTGATCTTGACATTGGTGGTCTCTTTAATTACACTAGTATATCTACTCTGATCTAATGATGTTTCCCTAATTCCACTGGTATGTCTACACTGAAAGATGATGTCTACTCTTACCTGGCATGTCTCCTTAATTCCCCATATGTCTCTACTCAGACATTGGATGTCTCTTTAAATCTCCATGTGTGTCTACTCTGACCTGGAATGTCTAATTTCCCAGAAGGGTCTACACTGACCTTGGATTTTTTTCCTATTTCCCCTGGTATGTCTCATATGACCAGAGATGTCTCCTTTAATCCACTGGTGTGTCTGTTGTAACCTGGATTGTCTCCGTAATTCCCAAAGTGTATCTCCACTGACCTTGAAATACTATTTCCTAAGGTGTCTACACAGACCTGGGATGTCTCCCTGAATCTTAATGTGGGTGTATTATGAGTTGGCATGTCTACTTGTTCCCCAGGACTGTATATCTTGACCTGGTGTGTATCCATAATTCCACAGGTATGTCTACACTGACCTGTGATGTCTTCATAATTTCTTAGGTGTGTCTACTCTGGCCTGTATCTTACTAATTCTGGGTAAACCAGTGCTCTTACATGGGATGTCTCCTTACCTTGGCTTGGGTTGTCTCTCTTTTTCCTCATGTTTGTCTATCCTGACCTGGGATGTATCTCTAATATCCCAGGGGTGTCTTCCTTAACCTAGGATGACTCCCTAATCCCCAGATGTTTCTACCCTCACTTGGGATTTATTCATAATAACTCAAGTGTATCTATACTGAAATGAGATTACCTTCTAATTCTTCATGTATATTTACTTTCATCTGGAATATCTCCCTAATTCATACATACAGGTATGTCCACCCTGACTTAAGATCTAATTCCCCAGGTGTGTCTGCTCTGGCCTGGTATGTACTCAGTTTCCCAGGTGTGTCTACACTGACACAGGAAGTCTCATGAATTCCCAATTGTGTCATCTTTTACATGGTATGTCTCCCTACCCAGACCTGAGTTGACTCCCTTATTCTCCAAGAGCATCTTCCCTGAGTTGGTCTTCTCAACAGTGCCCCAGCGGTAGCACTGGGATATATACCTAATTCCCTAATGAATCTAAGCTGACCTGAGATGTGTCCCTGCCTCACCAGGTGTGACTATTTTACTTAGGATTTTTTTTTTAATTTTTTTTTAATTTATTTATTTTTTATTCTTATGTTAATCCCCATACATTACATCATTAGTTCTAGATGAAGTGTTCCATGATTATTTTACTTAGGATTTTACTCTATTTCTTTAGTAGTGTCTTCTCTGAATTGTGATGTCTTCCTAATTCCTCACATGAGATGTCTTTTGTCTTGCATAGGATGTCTATTTCCTTAGGTATGTCTTCTTTGACCTTGGTGGCCTCCATACTAACCCAGGTGTGTCTATATTTAATTTTCCAGGGGGGTCTCCCCTGGCCTTAGATGACCTCCAATTCCCTAGTCATGTCTACACTGATTTTGCAAGTATACTTTTTCTTCAAGGGTCTGTTATGACCTGGTATACTACCTAATTTTCCAGTGGCATCTCCCTTGACCTGGTGTGTCTCCATGATCCTTTAGGTGTATCTACATGGATATGTAATGCCTCCATAATTTTCCAGGGGTGTCTTCTCTGACTTCGAGGTATCCCTATGTGTTTGTCTTATCTGGAATGTCTTTCTTATTCACCAGGTATCTCTACTGTAATGTGGAATGTTTCCTAATTCAACAAGTATATCTACCCTGACCTCGGATGTATCCCAAATTCCTCAGGTGTGTCTACCCTGACCTGGGATATTTCCATAATTGCCTAAGTGTGTCTACACTAACCTTGGATAGTTCCTTAATTCTTCAGGTGTGTTTACCCTGATTTTGGATGTCTGCCAACTTCTCAGGTTTGTCTGCACTAAATTGGGACATTTCTCTAATTGCCCAGGCATGTCTACTCTGACCCAGGATATCTCTCTATTCCCTAGGTAGATCTACACTTAATTGAGCTTCTTCCCTAATCCCCAACGTTTGTCTACTTGAACTTGATATGTCTCCCAAGTTCCCCAGGTGAGTCGACACTGACCTGGAGTGTTCCCCAATTCCCCAGTTTTGAGAATACTGACCTGGAATGTCTCCTTAATTCACAAGGTGCTTCTACTTTGACCTGGGATTGCCTCTAGTCACTAGGGGTGTCTGTCCTAAACTTGGATGATCTCTAGTTGTCCAGGTGTTTCTGTAGTAACCTTGGATGTCTCCCTAATTCCTCAGGTATGTCTAAACTGACTGGAGATGACCTAAGAAATTATGAAGGTGTCTGTCCTGGCTTGGGATGCCACTCTAATTTCCAGGTACATCCTCACTGGAATGACTCCCTATTTCCCCAGATATGTCTTCTCTGTATCGTTCCAATTTTAGTATATGTGCTGCCGAAGTGAGCACTCCCCAGATAAGGTCAACCCTGGGATGTTTAACTCCCTATTTGTATCTATTCTGACCTAGAATGTCCTATTACTATCCCAGGTAGGTCTTCACTGACAAGACTCCTTAATTACCCAGGTGTTCCTACACTTACCTGAGATGTCTAATTCTCCAGGTATGTTTACACCGAACTGGAACTTTTCACTAATTCCTCAGGTTTGTCTGTCCTAATTTTGGATGTATGTTTAATTATGCTAGTGTGTCACAGTGATCTGTGAGTTCTCATTATCTTCCAAGTGTGTCTTTCCTGACAAGGAATGTCTTCTCTGTTCCCCTGAAATGTCAACCATGATCAGGGATGTCACCCTAACTCCCCAGGCGTTGGGTTTTCTCCCTAATTCACAAAATGTGTCTGCCCTTACCTGGCATATATATATATATATGTGTGTGTGTGTGTGTATATATATACACACATATATGTATTATTATTATTTGGTCTTTTGAGAGAGAGTATGAGTGTACACAAGAGCTGTGGGGTGGGGGTTGAGGGGGAGAGGGAGAATCTCAAGCAGGCTCCACACCCAGTGCAGAGCCTGATGCAGGATGCAATCTCATGACCTGAGCCAAAATCAAGAGTCAGATGCTTAACTGACTGAGCCACCCAGATGCTCCTGGCATGTATCTTTATTTTCTTATATGCTTCTACTCTGATCTCATTGGTCTCTCTAAATCTCCAGGTGTGTCTACACTGACCTGGGAGGTCTTCCTCAGGTGTGTCTACTCTGCCCAGAGATGTCTCCTAGGTGGGTCTACATTGAATTGGCATATCTCCCTAATGTCTACATTGTTGTGGGATCTCCCTTATTCCTATGAGTTTCTATCCTGACTTGGGATGTCTGACTTCCCAAGTGTGTGTACTCTGACCTTTGAGGTCTTGCTAATTTTCCTGTCTTGTCATCACTGACTTGGGATGTCTCCCTAATTCCCAAGCTGTGCCTACCTTGATCTTGGATGTCTAATTCCACAAGCTTGTCACTTCTTGCCTAGGATGTCTCCCTCAGTCTCCAGGGATGTCCACCTTATTGTAGGATGTCATCTTAGCTCTCCATGTCAGCCCAGATCTGTGCTGTCTCCCTGTTTCATCTGGTGTGTCTACACTAACCTGCGATGTCTCATTTTGTAGGTGTATCTACTAGAAAAATAAAATTCAGAGAGCTTTGAGATGAATATTTTATTGAGTGAGAAACAAGCATTTTGGAAACAGGGATACATTCAAACTGAAAGTGTTAAGCAACTGCTCTAGGCTGTTACACATTCATGCTTTATAAACTACAAGTACATCATTTTCCATTGTGATTTGTTATTAGTAATTTACATTCCTTTTCATTACATCAGCTTACTTGATTTTAGCTGATTAGCATATCATGCTGACATGAATCAAGCTTAAGTTTTGTTTAAAATCAGAGTCAGTATTTTTGGAATTGAGACAGTTTTAAGATCTGGTTAAGTGACCATGAGTCTTTGGTCTAGGGGCATATCGAAACTGTGGTCTCTATTTCATTTTTAAAAAAAACAATCCCTTCCTTTTGATCATTCTCTCAGTTGAACTGAGAGTGGCTGACTATTTAGCATTACTCTTGGTTATGGGCCTTCTTTGGACCTGAAGATAGTGAATCAATCTCATTAGGTTCTTCTGATAATTCTTGTTCAGTACACATGGAGATCATTTGATTAGTCAGTGTTTACTGAAAAGCACTGAAGACTTGTGAGAAGATATAATACACAGGGGTATTATTAACATGAGTAACAGGAGTATAATATCAAATGTTTGAAAATACCCCAAATCCAAGATGCCAATTTACAAGCCAATCTGCATTGTTTTTCATAATGTGTAATTGGGTTTCAGTTTTTTTTCTGAGTTATTTATATAAGCAAAACATGTACTAGCAATGACATATTTTTATTGTAATTGTAGACATTCTGCAATAGATAAGATCACTTCTAAGGAATTTCAAGTGTTTTTTTTAGACACACCAAGGGAATTTTGCAGTAATATCTTATAAAGGTAGGTGCTCCTGGGCAACTAGGTCAAAATCCCAGGTTAGAATAGAAGCAGTTTGGGAATTAGACATTCCAATCAGTCTAGACACATTAGGGAATTAGGCAGATATACCAGGTCAGAGTAGACACACCCATGTTACAGGGAAACATCACTGGTCAAGGGAGACAGATCAGGGGAATAAGGTCCACCTCCCAGGTAGGAGTAGTAATATTAGGGCTTAGAGAGAAATTCTAGGTCAGGGTGGACATCTGGGATGTGGGAATTATCCTGGGTGTATTTGAGAATATATGAAGACATCAATATGATGATCTTCATATTGAGAATTATGGAGACATCCCCCATGAGTGTGGACATTTATAACAAAGGTCAGAATAGACACAGCTGGGAAATTAGGTAGACATCCTCAACTGTAGACAGTCCTGAGTAGAGAGACAGTTCAGATAAGAGTAGTCACACCTGGGGAAAAGATATCCCAGGTAAATGTACACACAACTGACTATTAAGGAAACATCCAGGTTTAGGTTATATACACTGGGGTAAGTAAGGATACATCCCTGATCAGAGTAGATAGAGTTGGGGAATTAAAGACCTACAAGTTAAGAGAACACACACCTGGGGAAACAGACTTCCCAAGTTAGTATAGAAATACTTGAGGAATCAAGGTGACATCCTAGGTCATAGTATCTTTCCCTGGGGAAACAGAGACATTTTAAGTCAGCAGAGACACAATCCAGGACATTAGGGAAAAATCCATAGTCAAAAGAGATACATCTCTTTTAGAATAAAGTAGATGTCTCCTATTTCAGATAAGAGAAGAAACCTCTATGGAAAGAGGGAGAGATTCCAGATTAGGCTACACACAATAGTCACTATCAGGAAAGACCTATGTGGGTAACTGGGGAGAGATCCCAAGCCAGGCTGACAAATCTGGTGAATTAAAGACTCATTGCAATCAGGATAGACACACCTAGGGTCTTAGAGACATCACAAATCAGAATAGACCTACCTGGAGAAATAGGGAGACATCTCAGGTCATTGTGGACACAACTTTGGTCAAGGTAGATTACCTGGGGGGAAACAGAGAGTCATAAGTGAACTATATAGACACACCTTGGTAACTAGGGAGACATCCTGGATACAACTGGGAATAAGAGAAAGACAGTCCAGGTTAGATCAAGGTAGGCACAACTGGGGAACCAGGAAGACCTCCCTAGTCAGAGTATACACACTTGAGGTACTAGACATTCCAGGTCATAGTAGACATACTAGGTAGACACAGCAGGTCAAGTGTAGACATCAGGAGAATGAGGGAAACATCCCAGGTTAGTGTAGCCATACCTGCAGTATTAGAAAGACATCCAATGTTGAGGTAGACACAACTGGGAATCTATGGAATCATATTAGGTTAGTGCTGACACACTTGGGGAATTAAGACAGCTCAGGTCAGTGCAGACATAATTGGTATACCACTTTTGGTAGACACATATGGGTAATTAGTAAACAATCCAGGTTAATTTAGATACATCTCAGGAATTATGGAGACACCGAAGGTCAGGGTAGACAGACCTGTGGAATTAAGGAGATGTGCCAAGTCAGGATACAACAAAGCAAAGAGGGAGACTTCCAGAGTGGTACAGATAAGCCCCTGTTTTAATGAGACATCCCAAGTCAGTGGACACACACTTGAGGAATTACACATCCCAGGTCAGTGTACATACACCTAAAGAATTAGACAAACTAGGTCATTAATAAAAACAACTGGGATTAGAGATTCACTCATGCCCATGTGGACACGACTGGGCTATAAGCGGATATACCAGATCAGAGAAGATATATTATCTCTGAAAATTCCTAGATGTAAGGTTAGGGTGGACACACTTGGAGAATGAAGAAAACATTTCAGGTCAGGGTAGAAACACCTGCGGAGTTAGGGGGATATTCAAGGTCATTGAAGACACATTTGGTGAATTAGGGATACATCCCAGATCAGTCACAACTGATGATAAGGTAGGCATCTCAGGTCAGAGAAGACACCTCTGGTTATTAAAAAGACATAAGATCAAGGTAGAAACAGCTGGGAATTAGACATTCCTGGTCAATAAAGACAAACCTGGGTGATTTTTTTTTTAAGATTTTATTTATTTATTTGAGAGAGAGAGAATGAGAGACAGCATGAGAGGGAGGAGGGTCAGAGGGAGAAGGGGAGCCCGATGCAGGACTCGATCCCGGGACTCCAGGATCATGACCTGAGCCGAAGGCAGTCGCTTAACCAACTGAGCCACCCAGGCACCCAAACCTGGGTGGTTAGGGAGACATCCTCCCCTTCCAGTGTTAGCACACTGGATTAGGAATACATTTCTAAGTACTTATCAGAGTAGAGACACTTAGAGAACTAGAGAAACACCCCAGGTCTGTGTATTTCAAAGACCTCACTGGTTAGGGTATATACTCATACAGAACAAGGGTCACATCCCAGGTCAGAGTAAATACACCCAGGGAATTAGGGAGTGATCTCCCATCACAGTAAACACATTTGGGGAATATGGGAAACATGAAAGGTTAGTGTGATTAGGGAGACTTCTAAGTTCATGGTAGACACACCTTAGGAATTAGGAATAACCTGGAACAACACACCTGGGGAAATAGGGAAACATCCCAGGTCAGAAGGCACAGCTGGGGAAATAGAGTGATAACCACGTCAGTGTAGACTAACCTATGGGAGATATACCACTTCAGCATAGATGTGGTATTAGATATCCTTGATAAGGGTAGACATACATGGCAAATTAGAGTCATCCAAGTGCAGGGTAGACCACCTGGGGAATTAGGACATCCTAGGACAGGGTAGAAAACCCTGCAAAACAGGGTGACATCAAAGGTCACTGTACAAATACTCATGGAATTAGGGAGCTATCCAGTATAAGAGTAAACACCACAGATATCAGATATCACAGGTCAGAGTAAACATGCCTGAGGAATAAGGGAGCCACCCAGAGTCAGGTTAGGGACACCTTGGGTATTACAGGGACATCATAGGCGAGAGTAGACATGCCTGAGGAATTAGACATTCAATTCAGAGCAAACACACCAAGGAATAGGAGACACCCTACGTCAGTGTAGACACGTCTGGGGAAATAAAGAGACATCCCAAGTCAGTGTAGAAACACAGGGTCAATTATGAAGACATCCAAGTTCAGGGCAGACACCTTGGAAATTACAGGGACAAGCCAGGGTTCACACACTTGGAGAAATATTGGGACAAATCATTTTAGAATTGACACACCTGGGAAATTAGGTAGATTTCCAGGTCAGTGTATACACACAGGATAATTAGATAAATACCCCAAGTGTAGACCTACATGGAGTTTAGCAAGACAACCCAAGACAAAGCAGGCACACACTGGGAATTAGAAAAATCCCAGTTTGTACTAGATTCAGCTTTGGTGTTAGGGCTTTATCTCATGTCAGTGTAGACACATTTGGGGAATGAGGGAGACATCCTATTTAGGGTTGAAACTCTTGTGGAATAAGGGAAACTTCCCAGATCAGTATACACAAACCTGGGGAATAAGGGATACACCCCAGTTTAGGGTAGACATGCTTGGATTAGGGAGATAATCCAGGTCAGAGTAGACACACTAGGGGAATTATGAGGACATAGATTAGACACAACTAGGGGACTAGGAAGATATTCCAGCTCAGTGTAGATACCTCTGCATATCCCAGGAGACATCCCATGTCAAAGTAGACATACTTGGAGAGCTAGGGGGATCTCAGGTCAGAGTAGATTACTTGAGGTATTAGAGAGACATCCATGTTCAGAGTTCACTCTTCTGGAGGAGTTAGATTCTAGGTCAGGATTAACACACCTGTGGAACTATGGACACATCCCAGGTCAGAGGAGACATACCTGGAGATTCAGGGGAATTCCTTGATCAGTGTAGACCCATGGGAAAATTGGCAGACTTGCAACATCAGGGCAGTCAGACCTAGGGAGTTGGGGAGACACTCAAGGTCAGTGTAGGCCCCCCTGGAGAACTGGGAGACACCCACCGTCAGAGTATACGCACCCTAGGGGATGAGGGAAATATACCAGATCAGGTTGGACACAACTCGGGAGCTTTGGAGAAATCCCAGCTCAGGTATACTTACCCGAGGAATCTGAGATATAATCTAGAGCAGGGTCGACACACTTGGGGAAAAAGAACTACGGCTATAGCTTATGTCGGTGTTGTTCAAGTAACCAGATTAGGTCCAAAATGGAGTTGCTAATGTTAACCCTATGTCAGCAAACCAAAACTTAAGTTTCTATGTTTTGCTCTCCTAGAAAAGGAGGGTCTAAGTCAACCAATAAGCACTTCCCTGCTCAGCACAAGTTAGATGACCTGCCCCAAGACTTCCCTGTGCCCCACATAAGAAGAGTAACCATGCTTACCCATCAGCAAATGCCCAGCATAACTTCCTGTTCCTGCTTACTTCTCTTACCTTGTACAGATCTTCGGTGCTTCTTTTTATCTGCTAGATTAGGTGCTGTCAGATTCCTGAATCACTAAATAAAAGCCAACTAGGTCCATAAATTGACTGGAAAAATTTCTTTGAACAGGTCTGAGGAGAAGGATGGGATCCAGAGAAGACTGCTAATGGCTTTGGGGACAACAAGAAGCACAGGTGCTGGTACCTGCTGAACTCTTTGAGTTCTTGGTCTTTCTCATGTCTCCACAGGCCATGGGTAAGTTCCTCTTGTATATGAGCTTTGCATATGAGCTGCCTGGTCTAATGGCCTTTTTTAGTCCAGTATTTAGCAGGTCAGCTTGAGCTGGCAGATGGTTCCATTTGGAGCCTGAAGTCCCTAGCCCTGTGTTAGTCCACAGTCTTGATTTATTGGGTTCTGCTGGTTAGTCCATAGTTCCACTTTGGGAGCTACTGGTTTTGTTGGTGTGAAGCAAAAGTGACAAATTTGTCAAACAGAAACCAAAGGACACATGGGACCCTAAGGTTCTGAAGAATCGAATGATCCGTCTTCTCATACCCCAGCTCTTTATATGTTTAAAAACTATGGTTCTGGATGTTGTACATATTTGCAGAAATGGCAACATATCACTAAGAATAATCTTGAATTACAGTAGCCACAGTAGGAAGATTTTAACTTCGATAAGCTTATCCATTTACAAGGTGCCCTAGAGGGAAAGCGGTCTCAGCCAAGAACTCACTATAAAAGGTAGAAGGAAAATTAATTTTTCCTTTTCGACAGTTTCTGGTGACCCAGATGGGACCCACTGGGACACCTCACTTGCTCTGGAGCCTGCAGACAGGATACTGAGGAACCTGGCAGAAGCTGGCAAAGAGAGTTAGGTAAAATTTCATGTTGTTTCTTCCTTTCCAAATCCAGACTCTTGTGAATTTGGTTTTGGGATACCCACTGGTTGTTGATTCTTTCACTCCCAGGGGCAGCTATTGCTTTCCTGTTTGTCTTGCTTTGTGTCCTGAGAATTTGGCTCGGCTTTCTGCCTGCCTGTCTGTTCTTGCATGTGCAGGCCCCTCAACTGTCAGGTGAGGGTCCTGAGAAGATGGTTGGACTGAGCTGTGGGTTGTACCCCATTTGTCGCTAACATCCTACTGACTGTTGCCAGCTCTCAGGGGAACTGTCTTTCTTTATGTTGCCTATATTTGGGAGTGGTTCTGGATCTTGGGAAGACTGTATCTTTTGCACCCTCTTAGGAGATGCATTGTTAGGCCACAGATACGTCCTAAAAGACTTATTGGTTTTGGTTGAGTAACTTGACTGATATACTTGGGGTTTAAAAAGAAGAAAAAAAGAAGAGTGCAATACTGCCACGAATGTTTACTATTTGTCTCAGCTAAAACCTGCAAATAAGATATTTGAAAGGATTTTTATAATGAACTCCAGGGTCATAAGTTGGTCAAATTGGAAGCCATGGTAATCAGACAAAAGGAAGGAATCAAAGGCATCCAGTTTGGTCAGGAAGAAGATACTATATAGAGAAAACCTTAAAGATGCCACCAAAACACTATTAGAACTGATAAGTGAATTTGGTAAAGGTGCAGGATACAAAATCTATGGCATTTTAATATACTAATAATGAAGCAACAGAAAGAGAAATTCAGAAAGAAATCCCATTTACAACTGTATCAAAGATATTGCCCAGGAATAAACTTAATCAAGGAGGTGAAAAACCTACACTCTGAAAACTAAAACACATTGATGAAAGATACTGAAGAGGACAAAATAAGCAGAAAGACATTCCATACTCATGGATTGGAAGAATATTGTTAAAATGTCCATATTACCCAAAGCAATCTGCAGATTTAATGCACTCCCTACCAAAATATCAAAATTTTTCACAGAACTAGAACAAACAATCCTAAAATTTGTATGGAACCACAGAGGACGTTGAATAGCCAAAACATTCTTGAAAAACAAAGCTGAAGGTATCAAATTTCCAGATTTCAAGTTATACTACAAAGCTGTAGTAATCAAAACAATGTGGTACTGGCACAAAAATAGGCATATACATCAATGGGATAGAAAGCCCAGAAATACACCCATGTTTGTATGGTCAATTAATCTTTGTCAAAGGAGGAAAGAATATGCAATAGGAAAAAGTCTCTTCAACAAATGGTGTTGGGCAAACTGGACAGATACATGCAAAAGATGGGCCACTTTCTTACGCCATACACAAAGATAAATTCAAAATGGATTAAGGACCTAAATGTAAGACGTGAAACCATAAAAATCCTAGAAGAGAGCACAGGCAATAATTTCTCCAATATCGGCCACAGCAACTTTTTTCTAGGTATGTCTCCTGAAGCAAAGGAAATATAAGCAAAAATAAATATCGGGACTTCATCAAATAAAAGCCTTCTGCACAGCGAAGGAAACAATAAAACTAAAAGACAACCTTACAGAATGGAAGATGTTTGCAAATGACATATACAATTAAGGGTTAGTATCCAAAATATATAAAGAACTGATACAACTGATACACCCAAAAACCAAATAATCCAATTTAAAATTGGGCAGAGGACATGAACAGATATTTCTGCAAAGACGACATCCAGATGGCCAACAGACACATGAGAAGATGCTCAACATCACTCATCAGGGAAATGCAAATCAAAACTACACTGAGATATCATCTCACAACAGGATGGTTAAAATCAAAACCACAGGAAACAAGTGTTGGTGAGGATGCGGAGAAAGGGGAACCCTCTTACTGTTGGTGGGAATGCAAGCTGGTACAGCCACTCTGGAAAACAGTATGGAGGTTCCTCAAAAAGTTAAAAATGGAACTACTCTACAATCTAGTAATCACACTACTGGGTATTTACCCAAAAAATAAACAAAACACTAATTCACAGGGATATATGTACCCCAATGTTTATAACAGTATTATTTATAATAATCAAATTATGGAAGCAGCCCAAGTATCCAACAGTAGAGGAATGGATAAAGAAGATGTGTGTGTGTGTACACACACAGTGGAATATTAGCCATAAAAAGAATGAAATCTTGCCATTTACAACATGGATGGAGCTAGAGAGTATAAGGCTAAGTGAAATAAGTCAGTCAGAGAAAGACAAATACCATATGACTTCACTCATATGTGGAATTTAAGAAACAAAAAACAAAGGGACAATAAAGAGGCAAACCAAGAATCGACTCTTAACTATAGAGAACAAACTGTTACCAGGGGTGGGGGGAGATGGGTTAAATAGGTGATGGGTGTTAAGGAGTGCATTTGTGATGAGCAGTGGGAAATGTATAGAATTGCTGAATCACTATATTACACCCCTGAAACTAATATGACACTGTATGTTAAGTATACTGGAATTAAAAAAAAAATTAAAGTCCAATAGGGTTTCTTTTTTTTTAAAAAAAGTTCCTAACTAAAATGAAACTATGTACCCAGAGGGAAAGAAAAATATTCTGAACCCTTTGTGAAAGGATTTACTGAAATATTCAAAAGACACACAGCTCTAAATCTAGAACATAAAAATCTTCTGATTTTCATCCAAATTGAAAATCTTCCTGATATAAAGAAGCAAACTGAAGATAATACGATTGGATGAGTGGGTCAGCTCCTTGATATCATTCATGTTGCAACTCAATTCTTTGAGGAATTAAAAATAACTGTCCTTGTTTTATAAAGTGAGTCTTTACAGGTGCAGAAATGCAGCCCTAGAAGTAATTTGAAGCCCACCTATCCTTTTTACCAATCCTGAAAACCCCCTGTTCATCTCAAAGCTTATAGATATTGTAAAAGATCTGGATTTAGGAAAGAAAAGTCCTTCCTGGAGAAATTTGCATTCTCTGTGTTTAGATAGTTCTTCCTTTGGGATAGAACGTTTACTAAGAGCCATCTTTTTGAAAGGCAAAATTCTTATCAGAATGACAGAAAAGGCTAGTTGGAAACTAGGAAAAATCTTAAAATCTTCTCCATAATTACTAGTGAAAAGCTTAAATCATCTGAGTAGGTAATCCTAATATGTTCTGTGTGTCAGAAACACAGTTGTATTCAACTGTTCTTTTATAAACTAGTGGGTTTTTCATTATTGAACTTGTCTCATAGCTAAAATTCTAAAACCAAAATTAAGCATGTATTTTTACATATATCTGAATGTTTATGTATTCCTGTATACATGCATGTAATCGATGTATGAAATTTTTCTATTTCTAGATGGTATTGCCAATATTAATTTGTAAAGAGCTCTAATTGGCTTAAAGAAAAATAAGCACTTATATAACAAGTATACTCTCAAAAAGGTAGGTAGAACTAGCCTAAATGTTTTTCGAATTCACATAATCTAGGATAACCTAAGCCTTGGGTGCATATTTCACAACTGACATCTGGTCCTGTGATAATTCTGGAGACCTCAAAACCAAAGTGACCCGAAAGAGAAGCTGCAAACATCATGAGGTAGACTGTTTCCTCCAGAGATGTTGAATCAGGAAGGTTTCTTTCTATTGGATATTCACAGGTAAAAGAATGAAAATTGACCCCTATCTTACTGCACTCACAAAAATTAACTTGAAATGGATTAAAGACTTAAATGTAAGACCTTAAGTCATGAAAGTCCTAGAAGAAAAAGTAGAAAAAAAGCTCCTTGACACGGTCTTGGTGATGATTTTATGGAAGTCACACCTAAAGCATCAGCAACAACAACAAAAAAACCCAAAAAACTACTGGGACTACATCAACCTAAAAAGCTTCTGCATGGCAAAAAAAAATCATCAACAAAGTGGAAAGAAACCTACAGAATGAGAACAAATATTTGCAAACCATACATCTGATAGGGAGTTAATATACAAAATATATAAAGGATACAACTCAGTAGCAAACAACCAATAATCCAATTTAAAAAATGGGCAAAAGAACTGATAGACATTTTTCCAAAGATACACAAATGGCCAGTAGTTACATGAAAAATGTTCAACATCACTAGTCAAATTAGAACCATAAGGAGATATCACCTCATACCTTTTAGAATGGCCATCATCAAGGGGCGCCTGGGTGGCTCAGTCGTTAAGCGTCTGCCTTCGGCTCAGGTCATGATCCCGGGGTCCTGGGATCGAGCCCCGCATCGGGCTCCCTGCT